TTCATGTCAAACTCCTTTTCCTGCATGATTTTCAACTCATTTACATCACGTAAATGATTAGCATCAATAAACGTATCATCAACATAAAATAACATGAAAATAAAAGAGTCATCATCAATGCTCCTAACATAAACACAATAGTCATAATCACACATTTTATAGTCAATCTTAAGAATGTATGAATCAAAGTGTTTGTATCATTGTCTTAGATATTGCTTTGTATCATATAAAAACCTCTTCAATTTACAAACTAGTTTGTCATGGTCAGTGTCATTGAACCCCTCTGTCTTATACATGTTATTTGCTCATTTAGATTACTAAGAAAGAAATGTTGTCTTCGCATCCGTCTGCTCTAAATGCATGTCTCGGTTGACTATCAAGGTTAACACTGTCCTGATAGAAGGATACTTGATGACCGGAGAGAAACTCTTATCATAATCAATCTCATTGTGAGTATCTTTTTGCTACAAGACGAGCCATATACTTTTCCTTTTTCTTTTCTTTTTCTGTTACTGTTGATTTTATCTTGAATATGATTGAATAAGATTGAGATTATTTTTAGAAAAATTCACAAGAAAAACATTAGGGTTTGAATAGTTGTTTATATAAATAGAGGATCTCTTTCTGTTTAAATGCTAATTTTGTCTTCTTACTCAAAAAATAACTAGAATCGTATTCCACTTTGTTCTTGTTCTTGTGTAGATTTTGTAGAGATGATAGTATTTTTCACGTTAGTGGTCAAAGCAAAATCACGCTTTAAGAGGTATTATGATAATATTAACTTATGTTTGAATAGTTATTAATGATTTAATTAAAACTTATTCAACTAGATTGTTCTTCTAAAAGACTAAATTTTGAAAAACTCTCCTAAATCCCTAATAATATTCTAGTATATAGGTAAGATGACATGCTACAAATGAAGAGGGCTCATAGGGTTTTCCTTTCACTTGTAGTGGTCGTCAATATGTCTGCTACTAAAGGGGTTCCAATTATGGGGTCATTTGTCGGTCAGTCCACACTCAACCTTCATATGTTGTTTCAAATAGAGGTTTGAGGTTCTTTTGACAAGCTCGCGCCACGGGATGCTTTAAGCTTTTCGCCACGTGTTGTAGGGTTGAGTTAGGCCCAACCACATTTTTTAATATGGTATCAGAGCCTATCGATCGGACCTTAGGCAGCCCACCGTTTAAATCCACGCACCAAGCCCAAAAAGAGTGCTGGGCGTGAGGGGTGTATTAGGAAGATTCTAAAGTCCCACGTTAGTTGGAGATAGAGCATTGAAATAATTTATATAGAGTGGCACCCCTCACCTTACCAACCGGTTTTGTAAGGTTGTGTTAGGCCAAACTCTAATACTATTCATGAGACATCAATTCCTTCCTAAGATCATAAACAAATGCCGATTGGGGAGGGTGTCCTGATACCAGGCACTCTACTTCTGGTTACTGTGTGTTTCTAGGTGATAATTTGCTTTCTTGGTCATCAAAACCCAGTTCAACATCAACAAACGAAACACATTGAGATGGATATCCATTTCGTTCGCGAGAAAGTAGCTCGCGACCATGTTCGGGTGGTCATCAAAACCCAGTTCAACATCAACGAACGAAACACATTGAGATGGATATCCATTTCGTTCGCGAGAAAGTAGCTCGCGACCATGTTCGGGTCCTCCACGTCCCTTCACGGTATCAAATTGCAGACATTTTTACCAAAGGCCTTCCATTAATACTCTTTCAGGACTTCAGGGACAGTCTCAACGTTAGTCAACCTCCCGCTTCGACTGCGGGGGAGTAATAGAATATCTTCATTAATAGAATATTAATAGAAAATGATCTGTCATTATCTCCATATGTAATTATATTCATGAGACATCAATTCCTTCCTAAAAAGGGATTTGGAAACAATTGTATATATTTGTGATATCATATCAATGAAAAGCACAAAATTATATTTCTTTAAGAACTGCTCCAATGATGCATCAACGCTCTTACTATTGAGCAGGATCGGTATCTAGAGGAGCTCACATAGACGAGTGATATGCTAAGCGAGATATGGACTGATATGGAGACTTTCGAGTACCTCACTTACTGACTGAGAGGTTGTAGTCAGTTGTGAATGAGATGAAGAAGAATGATGAAGCCCTATCATTCACTTGGATGACATTATCCACAATTGATGCCACTCTTGCTGAGGCGAGCCAGACATTGTACTTCTCCCGCAAGATGGTAAAGGAGTTGAAGGTGTCTCTGTGTGAGGCTCCGGAAAGTTGGAAAAAGGCTAGGGATGGCCTTGTGGAGATGCATCTTGAAAATCTCGAGTTGTCAAAAGAGTATGTGAAGTCAGTGTAAAAAAGTTTCTCTATCCTGCAGGTTTCTTTTGAGAACACCTTGCAGCAGTTGGAATTTTTTCATCCCACAGTGCATATTTCACAAGATCAAATATGTCCTGATCAAGAGATGGTGAATGGAAAGCTGACCGTCGTTGGGGATGAGTCGGGATCGTAGTTTCTCTACTTTTTGGTGTCTGAGATGTTCTTATCCAGTGTAACATTTTATGTAGAATAAATAAATTCCATAGTTTCTTCTCTATGGCATATTGCTTATTTTATTTACTTACTGTTGTTTATACATGTCATGGTGATGTTTTAGTTTCTCGAGTTTGCTTCTCTGAGAATCAGCTAGTATCTGAGGTCGTGCTCAAAACTTTTATTGATGGTCTCTAGGGGCGGTGCCTAGCCAAGGGGAACCCCTTCCACGCCTCCAAGTTTGAACTAGGTTCGAAGACGATTTAGTGGGGACTCACCTCTGCACTGCACTATGGTGTGGCTAGCTGCCAAAAAGGGTGAACCATTATCACCATTTTATTTTGTGTTATGTGGTCTTTATCTATGGGACTTTCGTTGTGGGGTTTTGACTATTTTGATCGTACGGTTGTGGCGATTGCGATATTAAAGTCTTACCTTATGTACTCCTAATAGGAATGGTTTACTGATATAAAACCTTGTTTACAAAAAGCTTAAGAATTATTGTAGTTCAGTAATTTTGTTATACCATTTGTAAATTCTGTAGTAACATTTACAAATCTTCATCTACACAAATACAAGGGAATATGTATTGCAGTTTTCAAACATTTACCTGGTATAACTCAGGGCAGTTTTCTAACATTTACCTGGTATAACTCATGGCAGCTTCCAGGAACTTGTATCTTAGCTTCATATAAATTATGAGATTGAGGGCATAAGTAACACTCTAAGGTAAATGAATGGCATATATATAACACACTTTAAGTGCGACAAAATCACAATGAGTTGAAAATAATCAATACAAGAGTAAAGAAATCAAGATAAGTCTTTCAAAATTATATTAAATTCTGAATCGTTTGATTTTACAATCGGAAATATGCTAAATAAACGAATGCGGCAATATTTTGACTTTGATCTAACGACCGTGAATATGCTAAATTCGTGAATGCGACAATATATTGATTGTACTAGATCAAATTTCAATAAAATTCGGTGAGATAGTATTGGCTAACAGTTTCCGGCAGTAATAATAGCTAACAATTTCCTTATTCCATCTTTACCAAGAGTTAGAATTGCTATATCCAATGTAGTTAAGCTTGAGATGATCTTAAATATGAACGGTCTACTTGTGAAAAATCGTAAAACTCATTGCGTTAGTGACACGTAAGATCCTACCAAAAAATGCGCTCAGTCTATTTGGGAAAAATCGTAAAACTCATAACGTTAGTAACACATACCAAAAAAATAGTAGCAACAGGTAAGATTCCAGCTAAAAAAATGGCAATTTCATACATCCACAATCACACATTCACAACAAAAACGTGAATATTATAATACAGGCAAAAAAAAGGTCTCAACTGATAGTAGAACTCTCAAACATACTTAGCACGGATGATCTTCCAATCTAGTACTCAAAGCACTCGAACTTGACTATAATTGCTATATCAACCCCAACTATCTCGTATCTCACAATACTTCACTATATTTGACAACACAACAGAGATCAATCCAAGCACATGAGGTGTAAAGATTACGCCAAGAAACTTAGAAGCTCTCAGTACAAAAATAAAATTTGGCTCCCACAGCCACATGCAACACCAACCCAAAATTTGGCTCCCACTTTAGATCCACTCATTCATTTTTCTCTCCTTACTCTCTCTTCATCTAATTCTCCTTCGTGATTATATTTTTGTTTTCTAATAAAGAGTAAGAGAGATTAAAAGAGAGATAGAAAGTTAGGAGAGGGGAGGAGAGAAAAATGAAGGAGGATCCAAATCCAATCCGTACATACACATATTGGAGCAACAACACACTGTCATTCCCGTAATAGCACATAAAAGCAAGAGAGAACCAAAATCAAGCTCCACCCACACATCTAGAGAACACACATATTTAATGACGAGTCATCCAAAAGATATACCATCATATTATACAAACAAAAACCCAACATCAACACATTATCATATGTAAAACAATTTGGCCTCCTCTCCTTGGATTGGAGTAAAATTAGAATATCAACTCTGTATATCAAAGAATCTCAAAAGTAATGATGAAATCTTGTATACCTGAATTATTCATTATAAAGATCACAAAATCAACTCAAATTTTCACAGTGAAAGTATAAAATTCAGCATAATTCAACCTCGTATTTAAGAATCTTAGACCCAGCAATGAGCAATTAAAAAACAAAGCTTTATGCATCATAAGGCCAAACTAACATCAAAGAATAATCATAAACAAACAGAAGAAAACAACCAAATTGAGAGAGAGAAGAGTTGCAACCTCTTCATTTACTCATAACTGAAACACAAATTATATACAGATTACAACAACTTAGAAAAAGGCAATGCTTTTGCTAAATTATCTATCACACAAGCAAAGCCATGCCTCTTTTTTCTAGAACATAAAAACAGACACCAATAAACAAGTTCACCAACAACTTTCCATTTTCCCAAAACTATACCAGAAATTAGGGTTTTCACAGCTCCACTTCCATTTCAGGATCCGATTCAGATTCACTATCCGGAACAACAACAGCTTTCACCCTAGACCTATTAGCCACAGTTTTTATCCTCATCTTCCTACCCCCATTACCCCCAAATTCAAAACTACAATTGTCATCCACAGGGTACCTTAAGGGCAAACTCATGTGATAGCAATAGTACTGTTCTTTCCCCTCCACCATAGACTCCTGTTCCGGCGGCTTCACCGGAGTTCCGTGAAATGTCCTCCTACAGTTCCCACACCGAAGGGTACAATCTTCGTATTTCTTCTCATACTCATGCAAGAACCAACAATAAGGACACATAGTCCAAAACGAAGCAGGTGAAACAACTTCAACCTCTCCTCTAATCTCACGTTTGAACCGGTCTAACTGAACCGGGTCAGATAAAATTTGCCAGGCTTCACGGACTCGCATGAGAGCTTCTTCTGCCAATGGAAACTTGTTCTTGTTTGGATCAAGCTGGCGAACAAGATTCTTAAAACGCTGCCGCACAAAATCACGGTTTCTGGTGTTGGTATCCGAAGGTTTGAGTTGGAGTACGGCGTAGTGATCCGGAAGGTTGTTGCCGGGACCCACTCGGAGTGATTCAGCCTCTAAAACATCTATTATTGCGAGCATGCGGTCGAGTTGAGCTGCGATGTCGGGATCAGATCTTGGTTGACGATGGATGAACGTGCGGCAAGTAGGGAACATTCGGCGTGAGAGTAAGGCGGCACCTGAACGCAGAGAAGGGTGGAAGGAGACTGTATCTGTCTCCATTTCTAAGCTGTCAGTGAGATAGGTTGAAGAAGAGCGTGAGAGTGACGGAATATGTGGATTCTTTTATAGATTTTTTTGGTTACATGTGTGCTATTTTAACACCTTTTTATTACACCCTATCATATTCCATCGTATATAATAACAAACCAAATATCCTTTCAGATAAATTATTTTAAAAAAAAAAACATACAATAAGTTATATTTATTTATGTATTTTAGAAACAAGTGTGTTAAAGACACTCTTTAATTTATTTTTTTAATAAGCACTAGATTATTGATGGAGCTTTTTAAGGATACTCAACCCATTATAAAAAAAATATATACTGTGTAGAATTTTTACCTCAATTATATCACATATTATCTACTAATATCGAGACACATCTCACTCAACACCTTAAAAAATAATTTCGTTCTTCGATTAATCAAATGCTCCATAAAGTGCTAAATCAAAAGACATCATTAAATTTTTTCAACTCTTTATCTTTTAGAAAGTTATAAAAAATAAAGAGGAGATCAAGTCCAACCAAACCTTTTATAGAGAAGTATTCAACTATTCAAATATCTTCTCTTGTATCGATTTTGTAAAGATATAAATTCGTGAATGACTTTCAATTATTTGATAATATAGAACATAAATAGTATTTTAAGTCGCATGGATAATCCCTCTTTTGAGAATCTATCTCCTATAATCTATCTCAAAGCATCTAATTTCGCTGCTACCTACACTGATAAACGCAACTTAATTTCAACTGGTACAACTTATCATAGTCTACAATTTATGATGTTGCTACAACAAACCATTTTTATTGATCTTTAATAAAGAAAATATTTTTAAAAATGTTGAATATTTTAATTGTTTAACTAATTAAATAAATAAATTTCTGTTAAAATTTTTTATTTTAATTAATTAAATATATCTTTCCTATTTTAAAAATATGTTAAATAAATATATTTTACAGATTTTTCCATATTTTCATTAAAAGGTGCTCGTATAGGAAAAAACATCTAAAAAACTCATTACTTCATTCGTTCTAAGATAAGATAAACTTAATCAATTTAATTAGTTCAAAAAATAACTATTATGCCGCTAGAGAAACATAAATGCTTGATGAAATGACAAAGTAGAGTTTGATGCGATGGAGTAGATCTTCGATGCAATGACACAGAAATAGATCTGCAACGTTACCACTCTAACGCCTAAGTTAGTAAGAGAAAGAGAAGTAACCTCAAATATCATGTGGGATGCCTTATATATGAGGGGTGGTTAAGGACGTCCCTTGATTTTTGTTGTAGAATGCGGAAAGTTGTATGATGACATTTAATGGTAGGAAACAACTCATGGCGTGGATTCAGTGTGGAGCTCTAGAGCAGGTTACACTCTACCTTCAATACCTTGATGGAAAGACTTTAGATTGATGATTGGGCATCCCCTTAAAGTTCTATTACAATACCAAAGCAAATCCAACCGTTATTTTTTATCTACCCATTTTCTTTTATTTGGGACCATTGATTTACCTGCCTTGCCTCTATATGTAAAGGATACTTCACCTTCCTAATCACATTTCCACTCTTTGCCCAAATTTTAATCCTTTTCTTCTTGTACGAGCTCCGATTTCTTTCCCCTAAGCATTGGTGATCTTGTTCCATTTATATTTTTTCTTTCCTTGGGTCTTGCATTTTCATGTTTCATCGCACCCTTAAAATTACCCTTTGTCCTAATCGCTCCCTCAACTTTTCAGGTACCATTTCTCTCATTGTTTAGCGCTTTTTATCTTTCCTTCCTCATTTTAGTAATGACTAATATGGGAGATGGCCTTTCAAATGATTAAAACAAAGAAATGGAAGCAATGAACTGCAGACAAGAAAGAGAGACACAGTACCCGAAGAAACAAAAAACGGAGGTAACAGATAAAAGAGAGATGACTCGAAGGTTATAATGAACCAAGAAATGTAGGATCCGAAGAAGAAAAGAGGTTGATAAAATAGGTGCCTTCGAAGCTCAGAAAGAAAAGATTAGATTTTGTAGAAGAGAAGAAGCTTACAGATTGTGAAAATAGTGAAAATGCATGTGAAATACTTAGTGACCCTTATGTGAGGGAGCTAGAGAGATTGATCAATGAACCAAAATGAAAGAAAATGAGGAGACACAAAACAACAGTTGTGCTACGGTGAAAATTGGATATCAAACTATTGATTAACTTGAATCACATATATTTGAAGTTCACCGCCGAACTTTATTTTATCCAAGGGAAAGGGAAAAGATCGTATAAAATCCTAAGTTGCAATGCAACAACAATGCTAAGAGATCTAAGATTCAGGGGTTGGTTATACCTAGGGAAGGTGTTAGCATCCTAAGCATATATAGTACTCTATAGGAACCTCTTGAGTGTATTTGTGTTATTGTTTGTTATTTGCTTTGAAATGTCTTGTGTTTGGGTTTTATTGGTGAGGATAGGAACCTAAGGATTTATTACTAAGTATGCTCGCCAAAACTTCGTAGTCTTGTGCCTACATATCCTTACAAGGATGGAATCAGAGCATTTGTAGTTCACCTCACTAGGAATGAAAAACACTTGATTATGATCAAGTATCAAAGGGGGGAGGTAAGTGTTAAAGCCTTAACACTTACGTGACTTTAACAAAAGTCAAAAGAGTTGTAAATTCTACCCTAAGTCTAAGTTGTAAGACTTAATGACTCTAACAAGGTCAAAAATAAAATTGGGTATTGCTAAACTACTTATGACATTAAGTCAATGAAGTATTATTTCCCTTGGATTTGGAAACAGGAGGCAACAAAAGAGGATGAAAGCTAACAAGGTAGCATCACTTGGGGAATAGACAAAGTTAAGAGTAAGCATGAACAAATGGATGAGATGAACAAGGACAATATTCAAACATGATATCAATTATAAGTGACAAAAGTAACATTTAAACATGATGTTAATCAAGGAATCATATGAGGTATGACAATATTTAAATACACATGGTAACAACCAAAGCACAAAGGACTTAACAAAGTCACAAAAGATCAAGGTGACAACCATGAACACATTCAAGACTTAATAAAGTTACAAAAAAATGGTAACAACGAAGGTAAACACATACAAGCAAAGATGTTACAACACCTAAACATACATGAGACGTAGTTCTAATAAGACTAAAGCATCATGTAAACAAGAATTTAAATCAATCATGGATATAGAAATATCAACATGGTATCATGGATGATAAGTTTAAATACAAAACATGGATTTGGGTTTACTAACATCACTTAATCATGAATACAAGACAAACATGGACAAGTTGTAACAACACTTAATCGTGAATACAATTTACACATTCAAACATGGATAAATCATCATAACACTTAATCATGACTACAATTTAAACATACAAACATGGATAAGTCATAACAACACTTAATCATGAATACAATTTAAAATATTTCAAGGAAAACAAAGATAACAACCAAGGCATACTTGAGAAAAGGAACATGCTCATAATAATAACTTGTAGTTAGAGGACGCAAGCACATAAAGGATGACATGTGAGCATACAAATAGATGACAAGGTATGATTTAAACATCAATTAATCATGAAAACAAGTTAAGAGATTACTTAAACATTTAATCATGGAAACAAGTTAGACATGTTTAGTACAAATAGGTAACAACCAAACATACATGTTATGGGTTTAATCATGGTCTCAAACAAGATGAAAACATCACAAAAGTTTTGATATACAAGCATGTATACAAAGACATATTAATATAAAAATCAAGTGTTTATGAACACATAATCATGGTATTATAATCCACACAAGGGTCCATATGCACATCAAGGTTCATACAAAACATGGAAGAAAGTCATATATCAAGGACAAAATGACCAAGTAAGAACTCATGGTATAGTTAAAGTCTAAACGCACACTTAACATGTAAACATACACCAAAATGTGTCAAATACAAGTCAAAATAAATATGCATGAATTAACAATGTCTACACAAAGTATATGAGGGTTCATACAAGTCATTATGGACAAATAAAGGCAAAGGATAAACCAAAGTATTCAAGAGAAACCTTAAGAAACCCTAAAAAAGTCACCTACTTTGAACAAGTATAAGTTGTGTTGTTTTCAAATTGTGAAGAAAACAAAGAAAATAGGTTATAAAAAATTAAGGAAGTAGCCTCGGTGGGACTTGAACCCAGGTCTGGTTGGTTACAGGTTAAAACCTTAACCATGTGAACCACACGCATGTCTTCTATAATATGTGAGGAGCGAAATATATATTTGAAATCAAATCCTGAATGCTCAAATAAAAATAAAATGTGCAGAAATAGAAAAAGGGTTATCCCAAGGGATCAAACCCATGACATAACGCATACAAGGCAAGGCAAGGCAAAGGTGACGCCACTAGGGTGGCCTGTTACATCCGATTATGTAATGGAAACTAAAAAACATAAAGGAAATCATTTTTAAAAGCACAACAAAAGGCGTCATGGCCTTCGTCTAAAGCAAGAACATTACCATCTTCATCATTTGCAAAAGCAATCATATCTCACAGAACGCTTCATGAAGTGCAATGAAATAAAAACCAAACTTGTGTAATTTTCAACAAGGAATTCAATGGTGCAATTCAAATTGTCTAATTTTGATCCCACATTAAAAATCAATACTAAAACTAAAAAAACCCTAAAATCTGCATTTTCAATCCAACAACTTCGTATAAACATGATGAACAACAAGTAATTGTGGGAACACATCATAATCAATATGGAAAACAAGTTTTTAGTTCATGGTGGATCAAAATATGGCATGGTTTAATGAGTTGTAGTTGAAAGTGAGCTTACCTCTTGAAGCCAAACTTGAAAAACCTCCAGAAGATGTTACAAAAATACAATGATGATTTGGACAGTTCCCTTGACCCTACTAGGAGTTATTTCAATGCTTGAACCTCCATAAAAACACTTGGAACAGGTTGCACCCTTCTTCTTGTAAG